AATCTGATTTGAAATTATTAATTGACATTAAATAATTTTATGTCCGTATTTATAAATTAGTGCTTAATTACGTCATCTGGACATAACGTCGCCGTTCGGTTCTAGAAGATCCTTAGCACTCCGGCTGCTCTTCCATCGACTTCAGGCGGTGTTACGTAGAAGTAAATATAATCGTCACCATTTTGGCTTTATTTTACTGTGCTTGGGTTAGAGACCCTGTAAAAATCCCACTTTATAAATAAGAAGAGGATGGACACCCACTCTCTCCACTCATGTGAGCTACAGCATTGCAATCACAGTACGCTCTGTAACATGTCAAACTCCAATGTTATCCACACCAGTCTTCATGTAGCGCTCTTCCCTAGCTCTGGCATGGGTCATCTTATACCTTTCCTTCGATTTGCGCCTCGCTCTCCGCTGCCATTGTCAACTCACTTTGATCACCACAGACCCTGTGGTCTCCCTGGCTGAATCTCGACTCATCTCTCGTTTCCTCTCTGCCTTTCCTCAAGTTACTGAAAAGAAGATTACTCTCCTCCCTCCTGATCCAGCCACGACCAATGCCGCCGACCCTTTTACACTCCAATGGGAAACTATTCGCCGGTCAGCACATCTTCTCTCTCCTCTCATCTCGTCTCTATCTCCACCTCTCTCATTTATCGTCACCGATGTATCCTGCAGTCCTCTATCATTCCAGTCACTGCAAATCTGCGTCTCCCCAACTACATGCTTTTTATATCATCAGCCAAATGTTCTCCCTTTTGGCACACTTTCCTTCAACCAAGACTGATGATGGTTCTTTTCAATTTGGCAATGTCATTGAAATTCCTGGCATTCCACCAATACCCAGATCATCACTGCCTCCTGTACTTTTAAACTCAAACAGCCTATTTGCCAAAAATTTTTCAGAAAACAGTCAGGCTATCACTAAAGTGAACGGGGTTTTGATCAACACCTTTGAAGGCTAGAAAAACAAGCTCTAGATATGCTTAACACTGTAAAAGGTTGCCGCCAGTGTTCCCCGTCGGACCCCTTCTGCCCTGTGAGTTTGAGGGACCAGAATCTCTTGCCACTTTGGAGTGGCTTGAGGATCAAAGGAAGGGTCAATACTATTTGTTGCCTTCGGAAGTAGGACAGCCACGTCAAAGGAGCAAATAAGAGAGATTGGGATGGGGCTACACTTGAGTGGGTGTAAATTCTTGTGGGTGGTGAGGACTAAGATAGTTGACAAAAAGGAAGAAGTGGGTTTGGATGAGATACTCGGGTATGAACTCATGCAGAGGATCAAGAGTAGTAATAATGGTTTGATCGTAAAAGAATGGGTGAATCAATGTGAAATACTAAGTCATAAGGCTGTGGGTGGGTTCATGAGCCATTGCGGGTGGAATTCGGTGGTGGAGGCTGCCTTGAATGGAGTGCCTATGCTGGCATGTCCACAACGTCAGTTTGGGATCAGAGGATTAATCTAGAGTGGTGGAAGCCGCGGGATGGGTCCTGTGTGTGAAGAGTTCGGGGTGGGGTGAGGATGTTTGTTGAAGGAGAGGAGATGGGGAGAAAATTACAGAAACTCATGGCGAGTGAATCAATAAAACTGGAAGCCGCAAGAATCCATCAAGAGGCAAGGAAGGCTGTTGGGGTTGGCGGAAGTTGCGAGGATTCGCTTAAGAAACTTTTGCAGAGCTGGAACAAGGCGTAGTGAGAGATTCATGGATTCATTTCTTAGATAATTAGCAGCTGCGTGTCAGCTATTGTCTGTTTAGTGTTCTCATAAATGTTTTATTACCACTTGTTTGTGCCATATGTAGTCTTTGCTGAAGTTAATGCTAGCTTTGACAAGTGGATTCTGTGACATGTGAAAATTCACTTGTATTTCATGCACGTAGCTATGTTTTGTTTCTAATTTGAAGACTCAACGTGGTAATACACATGGGATCCATTTCATGGTTTTTTACACTTGTTAATCTCTTTAGAATAAGTGTTAATATGTTAATACAGATGTAGGCTCACGTATAAGTTTATTTGAAATGTTATTTTCACTGTGTGATCATCATGTGTTAAGTTTCTATTATGGTGCTCCATAACTGGCACATATTAAATAAAAGATCATCTTTTGTATCTTTATTTTATACAACATTCTTGTTCTAGGTTGCAGGTGGCTTTGTCTTTACCGGCCGGTGGCTATTCCGACAACAGCTGTTTATAATCTAATTAATAACATATTACTTCCTTGGCAATCAAAATCTCTCAGACCTGACCTTGATTTCTTGTCTCATTCCAGTCACCCGAAATCTGTCTCCCTACCTACATTTTCCATTACTGTGTGTCCAGGGCTGATGATGGTTCTTTTCAGTTCGGTGATGTGATCTATGTTCCAGGCATTGATCCACCAATACCAAGATCATCACCTGCTCCACCACTGTTCAACTTGAACAGTCATTGCAAAAGTTTTCTTAGAAGATAGTCCCATCTCTTGAAACTCAATGGGGTGCTGCTGTTCAACACGTTTGAATTGAAGAGCTAAAACGAGCATTCTCTAGAGATGCCTACTCAGAAATGCTAGGTGAAGAACATTTCCGACAGAGAATTTCGTTCAAAAATCTCTAATTGTAATTATATTAATCAATAATATGCATGTTCTTACAACTACCAAGACTAGATGTTAAATTTTGCAACTAATTATATACATCCATAATCACAGAGCAACTTCTGTATTATTAACTTTTGCATTGAGTTCACGTCCATGATTTGTCATGTTTCAAAGGTACAGCATGGGCCACTTGTTTCAGAATTCGAATGGTTAATATATGAACCACGTATCCTACTTTGCATGGTGCATTAAGATTCTGGCTAGTGCATCTGTAGACTGGCAACTAAGGAACAGGGAGGGGCCTGGTTTATCAGGGTTGTACAGACGTGGGGAGCCATGCTAGTTGAACCCTAGCATGGCTTTACCGTTCACTGCTGGCCCTTTGCGGACAACAGCTTTCTCCACCACATTCGCGACTGATGACCCACATTGTAAATAATGTTGCAGGGCCTTACATTAAAACAGAAACCAAACTCGACGGTGCAATTTCTAGGAATAGGCATCAAAAACAAAAATCTAAAGGTTTTAAAATGAACGCTGAAAGATATAAATCCAAAGACTAAAGAAAAGAATACTGTGAAAGTTCAAACAAGCTTACTTCATGCAGCATTTAATAACCAAATGGAAATACAAACAACATGCTTCAAATTCTAGTTAATCAAGACAGTTTTGAACATCTACTGTTTACCATATTTGTTCTTCATAGTTGTCTGCTTTTTATGTTCCTTGTGTTCATGGACTTACTCAAGCTATGTTCACTACTTTTGGTTTATGGTTGTTTGAACTTTTGTTGTTGCTGGTAAGTAAGAGCAAATGCTTCCAACTCGACATCAGCAAAATCCTGACCTACCATTTTTGTTCCGGTGACTTTTAGTTTTTTTTTTTTTTTCAGTCAAATGAAATATGTATTAAGATAATTGAAATTATAGTGTAAAGATCAGCCCATATATGAGGATCAAGGTCAAGATACACAATCATGCCACCCAAGCAAGGGATTTAGACCCCAAATTTAGAGAGGTCTCATAATTTTATACCAATTATAATATAATTAATTATATTATAAATATAATAAAAGTTAAGATAATTAATAAAATATTTAACTATTCTATCATGTCTAATAAATATCTTTTTTTCTCTCACTTCTCTAATAATTCATTTCTCATGCCAATAATTCTCAACTATTTATCTCATTTCTCATTAAAAATATGTAAAAATAAAAAATAATTAATAAAAATAACATATTCTCTCATGTCCCTAATTATGTGCTTAATAAATCTCAATTTTTATTATTTCTCAATTCCTACAATTTTATTAATTCTCAACTATTTTTCCTATCTCCAATCAACTAACAGTAATATAAATGTGCATCTGCTATGATTTCTTTTAAAGAAATTGCATCTAAAATAAACATAGAACTTATATTCTGTTATACTCGTATTATTTACAGAAAAAAATAATTTGCTAAGAATATTGAAAATGAAATAATAAGATCTCTTGAATAATCATTTAGAATTAGTTACTTCTTAAATAAATTAGATCAATTAATTTTTCCACCCCAAGGGAGATTTGAACAATTTAAGATATATGAACTATTTTTTATTTTCTATTTAGCGGTAAAAAATTGAAGTCATTAAACGATAAAAGTTTAAAAGAATGTTGTCAAAATAACTAGTCTAATATTGATGGTTTAAATTTATTTTCAGAGGTAAATTTTTTTAAAAAAAATTATACAAATGGAAGATATAACAGTCTAATTGACATACTTAATCACATAAAAAGTCTCAATTCTTTTTCAAATGCATATATTGTTTTTGGAATAATGTTAATAATTCCAATAGATGTTATTTTAGAAAAAAAAAATTAAATTAAAATTATTAAAATCTTATTTAGATTGATTATGTTTCAAGAAAAATTAAATGTATTAACTATATTATCAATTAAAAAAATTAGAAGAATTTAATTATAAAAGTATAACTAAGAATTTTACATCTCAAAAAGTTAAAAATATAAATTTTTAATAATTTTTTTTAAAAAAATTTAATAAAAAAAATTTCATTTAAATATTTCGGTTTAAACATTGAAAATTATTGTACCACTCTGCATTGATGCCATGACATGTACGCAGCCAAAGCATAGACAGCAATCTAATAAGAAAGAACATTTCGAATCCGTCTCGTATTTTGTTGTTAAAAACCGATTCGAGCGAACCACAAAGTTCAAAACTTGACACCATAAATTGTCATCTACTGACCAAAACGTGACACCATAAACTATCATCTACTGCTTGTGCGCCATCTGCCAAGGCTCAACCAACCCAAGATTGCAAAAAGAATAAACCATGGCATGCCCCAGCAAGAAGGTTAGTTGGCTTACTGGTTTGGCTGACCAGTAGAACAATTAAGCAACCGGTCCCCATTCATTTATTGATTCCCAGTCCTTGATAATGGTCGATCTGATGACTTGTTAATTATTTGTACTAAGATTTTCTTCCCCCAAAAGTTTTAAACCCCACAACATACCAAAAACAATCCTCAGGTCCTCACCGATTTTCTCCACTCAATTTCCAGGCTTGAGCTTCCCAATTACCAGGCTTAGTTATCATGTCAAACTCGGACGGTATGCACTCCCATCGTCATGTTGCTCTCCTCCCCAGCTCTGGCATGGGTCACCTGCTGCCTTTCCTTCGGCTTGCTGGCTTTCTTATCAGCCAACGATGTCAGGTCACGTTAATCACCACACACCCCATAGTCTCCTTGGCTGAATCTCAACTTATCTCTGGTTTCCTCTCTGCCTTTCCTCAAGTTTCTGAAAAGAAGTTCACACTTCTCCTCTTGACCCGTTAACTGCCAATTGCAGTGACCCTTTTAAGCTCCAGTGGGAAACTATTCGCCGATCAGCGCACCTCCTCTCTCCTCTCCTCTCCTCGCTATCTCCACCCCTGTCTTTATCGTCACTGATATGACCGTGATGTCTTCTGTAGTTTCAGTCACAGCTAATCTCTGTCTCCCTAACTACATCCTCTTCACAACATCAGCCAGAATGTTCTCCCTCTTTGCACACTTCCCTTCGATTGCTGAGTCCAAGACCGACTGTGGTTCTTCTCGGTTTGGGGATGAAATTAGAGTTCCAGGCCTTGGTTCACCAATCGCTGTGTCGTCACTTCCTCCAACACTTCTAGACTTAAACAGCTTCTTTACGAAAAATTTCTCAGACAACAGTCGAAGTATCAAGAATGTCAATGGAGTCTTGATCAACTCTTTTGAAGGGCTCGAAAAGCAATCTCTGAAGATGCTTACTGTTGGAAAAGCAATAGGAGGGTTGCCTCCAGTGTTTCCTGTTGGACCTCTACTGCCCTTGGAGTTTGAAGGGCAATCTTCTTTTGCACCATTGAAGTGGCTTGAGGGTCAAAAGGAAAGGTCGGTAGTTTATGTCAGCTTTGGCAGTAGGACACCTATGTCAAAGGAGCAAATAAGAGAGTTAGGGACCGGGCTGGTACTAAGTGGATATAAATTCGTTTGGGTGGTGAAGAGTAAGGTAGTTGACAAAGAGGAAGACGAAAGCTTGAATGAGATTCTTGGGCAGGAGCTGAAAGAGAAGATCATGAACAATGGATTGGTTGTAAAAGAATGGGTGAATCAGTGGGAGATACTGAGTCACAAAGCTGTCGGTGGATTTATAAGCCACTGCGGATGGAACTCGGTGGTGGAGGCTGCTTGGCATGGAGTTCCCGTGCTTGGATGGCCACAACATGGGGACCAGATGATCAATGCAGAGGTGATAGAGGGAGGTGGATGGGGGCTGTGCATGAAGAGTTGGGGATGGGTTTCTGACACTGTGGTGAAGGGAGAGGAGATTGGGGACAGAACTAAAGAGCTAATGGGGAGTGAAATGTTGAAATCGACGGCTGCAAGAATCAGTGAAGAGGCTAGACAGGCTGTTGGGGTTGGTGGAAGTTGCGAGAATATGGTGAAGAAACTTTTCCAGAGCTGGAAGAACACAGGACAGGATGGCATAATTAATTAGCAGCTTGGTGGCAGCTGCTCTGTTTACCGTTTTAGACCAAGTCAAATGCTAATTAAGGAATAATTACCATGAAAATCTGTAGCTTTTCCTTTTGGATCCTATTATCTCTTCTTTTTCATCTCAAGTATTGATTAATTAAGTAAATTTGATGGCAGATTTTGACTGAGGAAATGGAATTTGTCCCCAGAGATAAAAGAATACCTTAAGATAATGTCATTAATACTAAATCTATTAAGTTAATATCAACCGCACATTGTTTTTTTGCCTCCTCTTTTGTCCCCCATCGCCTATCGACTCCAAAGAGAGAGAGGCCAACAGCCCAACAATGATTTGCTTAACAGCCTCCTCTCTCCCAAGCAACCTCTTCCCAATCTGTCAAAACCCCATTTACCTTCATAAAAGAACCTCAACCAGATGCAGTAAAAACCTGAAAGCTTCTTCTTCTTCATCGTCTTGTTTACCATTGAACCGGGTGCTACACAAGTCTCTTTTTCCTTTGGCTGCTTCAGTTACTATCTTCCTCTCTCCATCTCCAGGTAGATAGAGTCAGCCCCTATTTGTTCTGTTTATCATCTGAGTTAATGTTGGGTTTGTTATTTCATGGCTTCAGCTATTGAGTTGAGCAGTAGGCTGAGTTGGGTTGTCTTTCTTTTGCAAGTTGAATGACACTGCAATGTTATATCCGCGTGGAATTCATCAAATTTCATGGTTGTAGAAATTAAAGATATAATAGAAAATGATCACTTGAGCTTCTGGTTTTTCCTTTTGGCAGCTAAAGCTGGATTCCTGTCAGGATTCTCTGGAATAGAATCAGTTCCTGGTCCTCAATTACCTCAAATTGACTTCTTACACCGCTTCAACGGTTTGATTCTCTCTAATTTTTAACTAATACTGTGATTCTGTGCCTTGAGTTCAAGTTTTATGAGACACAATGGCCTTTCATTATGCAGAAGAAAATCAGAAGAAGTACGCTGAAGCTGATGAAAGATTCAAGTCATCCCCCTTGCTCAAGCAGCTGTTAGAGAGGTCAAAGCAGAACCAAGAAAGGTAATTCAACATTTGCCCTTTGGACTTGAGCTAGTTGTCTTATTATAATAATGTAGATTTTTACATTTGCCATTGCTGTAAACATAAAGTTCACCTCTAGCAAAACCCATTGTATCAAGCAGGCTAGTTTGAGAATTGAAACAATGCCAACAAAACCTCTGCTTGATGTGAGCTAATGTCCCAAACCTGAGGCAGAAAATTTTTACTGCATCAAACCAAAATTTTCTAATAAATAAGGATTTTACAATGTACTGTCCTTGGGCAAAGTTTAGCTTTGAATGGTTGGGGAGTTGCAGGTTGAGACTTTGAGCTTATTTCCATCAGTTACAGTGTTAAAAACATTTGATTGTGATGTTCTTTTTCTGCAATGTGGTAATTTCCAGGAACAGGCAGGAAACTCTGGATAGGTACTGCCTACGTGGGGCAGAGTGGGGTATAGGGGATTGCTCAGTGGAGGCAATGTCGCCTGAAGAGAAAGAAAGCTTCATCGCCATGTTGAAGCAGAAGTCTGGAGTAAAATGAATGGAGGGTGTTCAGGTCAAAGCCTCCCCTTCGACTAAGAGTAGAAGCAAATCCCAACATGGCAAGAACCCTTTTTGCCCTCCATTTCTTAGACAAAGTAAACATGTAATGGTGTTGGTTATAGGCATTTTGGTGAGGGAAGATGAAAGCCATGCTTGGATTGAAATGGCATGCTACTTAAGCATATGACTGGATGAGTACTTGTCTCAAATCTTTTGTAGCTTGAAGTTTTCTCTTTCAATGGAAAGAAACAGTTGCTTATAAGCTTTATGTGTGATGCTTGCAATCCAACCCTAAAAGACAGCAAATCAATGGTTAAATAACTTCACAAATGAGGGACTGGATGAATGCTTCCTCATGCTTAAATTAATCAAATAATTTACCAATTGCATCCTTATATAAATAAAGAAAATCCTTGCTTACGCGATGATGATCGAGTTTTTAAACTTCATAAACATGGTTAAAAAGGACCAACGCATATATAGAATAATTCATTAAGTTTATATCAAATTTATGCTTATCCAGATACTTAAGGCTTTATTATTTAAATTTTTAAATTTATTATAAAGTTTTTTTGATATTTAAACTTGGTCTAATCAAGTTTGAATATAATTTTTAATTTTCAATCTAAAAAAAAATGTTCGAAGATATCAACTAATTAATTTACATGGGAAGGCTAAAAATAAAATGGCTATTTAATTTTTTATTGCAAAATTTAGGGGTAAGTGAATGGTTAACTTGATGAATTCTGTTAAGAAATTTTTATATCAAATTAACTAAATAATTTTTAGAAATTAATCAAACAAAGCAAAAATCAAGTATCGATCGATTAATTGATTAATTAAATCAAATATATTAATTTGATTGGTAATATAATTAATAGAAAATTTCAAACTCAAACTCAATTTTCGTACTTTTATATTTTATATACTAATCAAAAGTAAATAAATTTAAATTATGCAATCCTAACAAAATCATAAACTTAATAACATTAAAATTTTCTAACAAACGTAAACAAAAATATACTAAAATACACACCTATATACTTTTAATCTTAAATTGGTTAATTTGGGTAATCAAAATAACCCATTAAGTTAATTAATTTAGTATGATCATTTTCGAGTTAATCAAACCGTTTTAACCAAATTTATTCAATTCCTATAATTAATTCAATTTTAACAGAAATTTATTCGCCGAGACAAAAATTTAACTTGACAGCATGAAAGTATAAAAGAGAGGGCCTTAAACGGAATATACAGAAAGTTGGAGGGCCCCTGACATCATGAGTCAAAACTGACAGAAAAAGATAATCAAGTATTAGTTTTGTTTTTTTTCACTCAAATCCATTTCTGGCCAAAATGAGCATCGCAACCGCCAGCTCATCGACCCAGCAATAGTAGTTGTATTTTCCTCATTTATAGAAATAAAAATTAAAACCCAAAATTAAATTGAATATCAATTTTGATTCCCAAGCTTCTCAATTTCAGGTACGTTCGTAAATCCATCTCTTAATTTTGATGGGTTTTTTTTGAATTTTGATTTTGTTTGGTCAATTATTTAGTTTTTTACGAAAGCTCGGAGTATTGGGTTTTCCAACACGTAATTGCTTAATTTTTTGAGGCTTAATTTGGTTGTTGTTGCTAATTTTTTATAGGAATTTGTTTAATTCCGGCATTTCGCGTATAATGAATTATGGATTTCAGTTTTCTTGCTTATTCATGTATGTTTATGGTGTCAAATCAAGGTGATTTGAGAATTGGGAAATTTTTGAGAAGTCGGTTTTGGTGATTGATATCTCAATACGTTAAAGAGTCATGAACTTTGTTGATGATCATTGATAAAAATTCTCCTTCTTTTGGTTCAAATATAGATTCTATTCGGATATTTTTTGTTATTTTGAGGTGGGGATCGTGTGAATTACCTTTTGTTTTTGTTTTTTTTTTTTCATTATGTAATTCATTATTTATTTTGGTTGGTTGAAGTTTGAGTTCCTAAAGGACTTGTGATTCACTATTGGTAGGGACTCTGATTGGGAGTTGGGACAATGTATCGGACAGTGGCTACAGCCACGACCAGGGGGGGAGTCCCAACTGATAATGGGGACTCTGTTGTGACCTTGGATCAAGTCCCACGATGGAGTGATGCAGAGTATAGGTCTTCTTTGGAGTATGAGAATGAAGATCCTTCGTTTTCGAATTCGTATTTCCCTGACCCCTTAACATCTCCTGGGGAGGAGAGTAGTAGCAATGGGATGGTGTCGAGGTTTCCTGTTGATCATGAAATAAACTCAAAGATATATTTGTGGAGGGGACAGCCGTGGAACCTTGAGGTTGATGCTGTTGTTAACTCTACAAATGAGGTAAGCACCAAGTTTCCCAACCTTATCTAATTAATAGAGATGCAAAATATTTTGAAGAAGTACATCAATTGCTTTATCTTTGGTTATGGACAACCTTGCATTTTTCTCACTTACACATGTATGTTATATGGTTAAGCCAATATGGAAAGGAAATGATGAGAAAAAAGAGTGTTAGTAACATTGGAACTGTACTGAATTTCTATTGAGGATTGAAGTGATAAAAAAAAGGACTGACTTTAAAGGAGGCTTGATTGGTTTTCCAATGGGTAGGTGAAATTGACCTGCATGTGCTTTACAATTTTATTCAAAATCTTAGAACTGAACTGAGGTGAGATTTTTTTTTGTTCCCACAGTTGAGTATATTTTAAAATTAATTTATGCTTGTGTATTTTCATTTTATCTACCCTTAAGGACTTGAACTTTCTTCTTTGTATATCTAACAATGTGGAAAAAGTTGTAAAATTGTTGGGCTTTTTACTTAACCTTTGTGCTAACTTGAGTGGGTAAGTTTGATACTTAATGTGCAGATATGAGGAATTTGGTTAACGTTTTGATCCCATTAAGGATCAAAGTTCCTTAGCTAAGAACATATCATTATTTAAAGATGTAAATATTCTGATATGCTCTTTGCCTGCATGATTGCAGAACTTGGATGAAGCACACAGCAGTCATGGTTTGCATGCAGCAGCTGGACCTGGTCTTGCAGAAGAATGCGTAACACTGGTATGCTCAACATTAATCAGGAAGAAATTATATGAGAACTTTTTCCATGGATGCAGTTCATGATCTGTTGCACCATTTGATAGTTCCGTTCTAAGCTTTTTTATAGCATATGAAAAAGCTTTGTGATTTTGAAGCATGCTGCTGGAAATAAGTAAACCTAAAGCAAGAATGACTTAATGTACCTTTTATGGACAGGGTGGATGCAGGACAGGGATGGCCAAAGTTACTAATGCATATGATCTTCCTGCTAGGTGAGTATGTTCACATACTTGTGTGACTTAGACTGTATAGAGACAATGTGTTTTCAAGGATATTATCTGACACTTGCATCTGATGCACTTCAATAAAGTGCTCTATAAATCAGACTGATAATTGTCTTTCAAAAAAAAAATGAGAATGATAATTCCTTTTTGTTTATAGTCGAGATGTAATGCTTTCCTATAAATCTTTTAACTGTTTCACTTGCCTTTGTTTTTCGTTTGTTCATAATTTATTGCAGAAGACTGAGGAATATAATAGCATGACGTCATCATTTTGTTTTAATCATGCTTTGCTCAGTTTTGTGATCATGCTGCATGAGCTGTGGTTCATACCTCTCGTTTGAGCAGCTCTGATGACTTGCTTGTTATATTCTTTATTATAGAATCCATTTGGTTCAGTTTGCACTGAAAGTGTTATAATTAAATTGTAGCCATGAAATCTTGTCTTGACTGAAAACTGATGGTTTTATGTATCATATTGTTAGGAGAGTTATCCATACTGTTGGTCCCAAGTATGCAGTAAAGTATCACACTGCTGCTGAAAATGCTCTGAGTCATTGCTATCGATCTTGCCTGGAACTTCTCATTGATAATGGTCTTCGGAGGTTTGATATTGCAGATGTTATACACTGTATTTCTTGAATTTGTTTACTACTCTGTTGTTTTGTGGAGTAAGATAATTATTATCCTTTTCATGTACTAATGCAGTATTGCTATGGGCTGTATATACACAGAGGCTAAAAACTATCCCCGTGAACCAGCTGCACATGTGGCTATAAGTGAGAAAATTTCGTACACGTTACGGCTACTTTTTTGCTTCTGTTGATATTTTGTGAACTAAAATATCTGGAATTACTTTTCGTACACGTTACGGCTTCATTATTCTAATGCTGTTATTACAGAATGTGGTGAATTAAAATGCAAGGAAATTTTGAAATGTTTTTCTTATGAAATGAACAAGAAAAATAATATAAAATGTTATGTTTTGAATATTTGCGATGGATCCAATGCCATTTGTGCCTCTAATTTTCCTAAGTTGACTGTTTCAATGTGCTATAGGAATACAATGTTCTTGGAGCCATTGACTTTTGTGGACTGTTCCTTGCCTTTTTAAAGCATTTAATTGACAATACATGTCATCTGAAATTTTCATCACTAATACATGGTTTTTACAGGGGTGAAATTGCTTTAAAAAAAGAAAGAAGAACGCTATCTGTTTGCATTTACATCCCTTTGTTTCATATTAATATGTTATTGAAAGTGTTTATGAGGTTGAATGTTTCTGGATTCAAACATTTTCCTGTTCTTCAGGGACTGTTCGGCGATTTCTTGAAAAGCAGAAAGATAAAATTACTGCTGTCGTTTTTTGTACTAGCACATCACCTGATACTGAGATCTATAAGAGGTAATCGTACTAGTTTTATTCATTTCTACTACCTTGCAAAGATGGCTTGCTTATTTTGATGCATTGTCACGATGCCTTCATTTCTTCTTACTTTTTTTTTTCCTTTTATAAGAATGCGTTGTTATGAGGTATTTTTTTTCTTCTTTTTCCTTTCATTTAAAATACTATAGGTCTGAGGTGTCGTCTCATTTAATACTGTAAATTGTAGATTGCTTCCACTTTACTTTCCTCGAGATAAGCATGAGGAGGAGGTGGCCATGACTAAGCTTCCTGCCGATGTTGGGGATGAGAATGGTGAGACTATCATAGATGAGCGTAAAATCAGAATAAAGCCATTGCCCAAAAAGGCCATCCCAAAGCCTCCCCAAGCTCCAGTTGAACTCCCTGTTAGTGATGTAGGTTTGGTACGAAGGTCAGTAACTCTATTTCATGATAAAAGTCGTTATCATTTTTATACTTTTTTATATTCACATCTTGGTCATAGATTGATCAATAAATGCATCATAATGTGAAGATATTGGAATGTAGGTGTGCCTATATCACAACCTTGTGAATTTGTTGGTTTGATATGCTCTCTTTCCAAAAAAGTATTGCTTAATATATCTAAGTGACTAAGTACTTTTCACAGAGTAATAAATCAATACTTCAGATTCCATTCAAGCATTTTCTTGTGATAGTGAGTTTAACTTATAACCAGAGTAGATTTTGATTCAATATTTTGGATTCCTTTGAGCATATTTCTTTCTGTGGCCGAGTACTACTTGCAACCATGGTTGTTTTTAAGATATTTGAAAGGTCTCTATTTCTCTCTTAGCCAATGACTCACATCTACACTTGCACATGCATTTGTGTACTTAAACACATTTAAAAGCTATGCACTTTATGAAGGGTGGTTTTTAATGAAATATCCTTTGCCTGTCCATATTTAAAAGTTATGGACTTTATGAAGGGTGGTTTTTAATGAAATACGCTTTGCCTGTCCACATTAAAAGCTATGCACCTTATAAAGGGTGGTTTTTAATGAAATATGAATTGCTTTCCCTATCATTTCTGGAGGTTATGCATTTCACCATTTTATTTGATCTCTCTATCTTGCACACATATGAGCACGCATGTGGACACATGAATACTCACATAATAGCCACATGCTTTAGCGAGGTCGGTTTTAAATCTCTTGGATGAAATATGTCCCTGATGGCTCTTCCTTTTCTAGAAATTATGTAGTGCTTTCATATTTGTTGCCATATGTGGATGTCTGCATCTTGCTATATGCTTTGATCATATATGAGATATGCATTATTCTAGCTTTGTAGATTTTTTGGGTTTTGACTTTAGAGAAAGATATTATGAAAGCAAGAAGTAAAACTTGTTACTTTTTTTACTTATTATGTCTAGTTGCTAGATAGTTATGTTTGGCGAAGTGTAACAAACTATTGCTCCTCTGAGTTTCCATGTAGTTTCATGTATTTGCTCTCTTCCAATTATCGTGGTTCTCTTCTAATTATGCTAAATGATCGCTGCCTATTTGAATTTCAAGTCATCAAATGACTATTGGATGATTGTTACTCTTTCAGGAATTCAAATTACTTGGATACATATTTGGATCCCGCTTTCATGTCCTTGATCAAAGATCCAGATCAGAGACGCCAGGAACAATGGGAAAAAAATGCTCAAGCACAAGGTGGTTGGAACTGTGCTAAGATGCTTGGATTTGGTGACCTTGGTGGGCCTCCATTATCGGCTGCTGAAGAATACTCACTTCACTCCAGATACCTCGCCAAGGCAAATTCTCTTAATCTTTCTGAAATTGCAGAGATGAAAATTGTGTAAGTGTATTGTGCAGATATCCTTTAACTTTTTCCTATCTTGAGTTAGCATTCTGTTTTATTTTATTTCATTATTTTTGAGAATCATTTGGTCAAACTTTTCGTTTCCATTGAATAATTTGGGTGTCCCTGTAGTGTTAGTGTTACTAGGATATTATACACTATTCACACAGCTGAAGTCGTCAGACTGTTGACTCTTTACTCTCCCTTACAGTCTTCTGAATTTCCGATTTTTATTTGTTGACTTTGCTAACTGTATGTGGGGCCATGTTTTGTTTATAGTATGAGACTCATCAATTCCATACATGCTTGGATTGGTCCTGGTCTGAATATAATGTTTAGTTAGTTTATTTGTTTTATGTCAGTTACCGTGGGGGAGTGGACAGTGAAGGTCGCCCTGTTATGGTTGTTGTTGGAGCACATTTTCTGCTACGGTGTCTTGAGCTTGAACGTTTTATTCTCTATGTTGTAAAGGTATAAGCTTACTGGTTGGTTCATTTGGACTTTTAAAATTCCAAACACAGACTCATTGATTGCACATCATTTTACACTGCTTGATTTTGGGAAAATTTTTGTGGTTATGGATGCCTAAAAGCATATTTGTATTCGAAACTGACCTTTTGAGCTAATATCATCGTTCGATTTTTATTCAGGAATTTGAACCCTTAATACAGAAGCCTTATACTATTGTATACTTTCACTCTGCAGCATCTTTACAGATGTAAGTATTGTATGGCTTGCAGAATTTTGGTTAAATTTGATGCGCTTCTAAGCAACTACAGGGGGTAAATGGTTGTGTGGTGGGGGGGGTGGGTGGGTGTTGGGGGTGTTGGTTAAATGTTTGGATTCTTTAAGTGGAAGGTTTTAGACCTTATTCTTCTGATAGCAATATTTCCCCTTTTATGTTATTAGCTCATAACCATTGCTTGTATAAGCAATGAATTCTCAACCCATTTCTTTAAGGTTATTAATAAAACTTTTATAGGGTAGCTGGGCCCTACAGGAACTTCCAGCATAAAAAAGAAGAAAAACCCCATTTCTTTAGGGTCATCAATAGCATGGCTGTTGGTTATCATGCTTTTCCCAGTGCGAAAGTTTAGTTTGATCTGATTGTTAAAGATTAACGTATATTAAAACAGATATGAAGCCACCCACTATTCAGAGAAGAAACAGTGATGCTATTGGAAAATTGAACTTGCTGTACAACTGCATGTGATTTTATTAAACAATGATCCATAATTTCTTTTACACTTGTGACAGCTGGTCAATTTTTATGCTTCTCATACAAGTCATTCTGTGAAATTGCATATAAAATTTTTGGGTACCAGAGGAGTTCCTAGACGTTGATAGAAGTAACAGATAATGGCTCATAGGCAATTGCATAGTTAAAGCAATGAAAACAAACTAAAAAGTTGTGCCTTTTCAGAAGAATCTAGATTTGGAAATTTCCATTTTAATCAAAACAAAATGATCTTGGTACAACACCATTATATAATCAAGATTGTCTTTGTATGCATTTTCAGAATTCAATTTGTTTTTTATCCTTCGATGCTCATGTTATTTTCTCTTTCTGGAATAACCAGCCAACCAGACTTAGGATGGATGAGAAGATTACAGCAAATACTTGGTCGAAAGCACCAACGTAACCTGCATGTATGCAGCTCAACTATTCCATCTAATCTGAATATACATTTACAGTCGTAGTTTTGATCTTCTTTCTTGTTTGGTATAGGCAATATATGTTCTTCATCCTACCTTTCACTTGAAGGCTGCAATTTTTGCTCTGCAAATGTTTGTGGACAATGTGGTATGTCTTAATTGTTTCTCGTCGAAGAATGATTTACCTGTTCAGGAATTTTGCTGTAACTTGATGTTCTCGGAATTTAACTATAGGTGTGGAAGCAAGTGGTATATGCGGATAGGCTTCTGCAGCTATTCAGATATGTTCCTCGTGAGCAATTGACCATCCCCGATTTCGTGTTTCAGTTGAGTGCTCTAGTTTAATCTAATTATTATTTCAAATGAAACATGGCATCATTTCTAATCTGTAGGCAAGGGGCATTCTTCTGCAGTGTTATAATTACATCAATGCAATTCAGTTATTCAACAGTTTGCCTTATTAAGCTTATTTATATGTTGAGTGCTTACGATATAGAACACGAACTGAAAGTAGGATAAGAGAGTTGATTCTAATCTTTTTTGTTGAAATGATCATTGCAGGCACGATTTAGAAGTGAATGGCGGAAAGGGTCTTATTGTGGACCCCAGAACGAAATATGTATACCATCGACCGTAGACATTTAAATACAGTTTCACCAGTTGGAAAAAAGCCACTGATTCTTGTTTTGATTTCTCTTCAACTGTATTTTCTAGGCAGGGTGGGGGGTTTGTTTTTGGTGGTGGTTTATCGTGTAGAAATAGTCAAAGTTCTTAGTTTATTGAGCAATGATATGTTTGTTTTATGATGAGGAAAAGTAATATTATCTCTCTCTTGTATCATCTTAAATGATTTGTTAATAATATTTCAGGGTGATCTGAGCTTTCGATTGAAAGCTGAGCAGTTGGCTTTGTTACAATGTGTTATTCTCTCTCTCAATCATCATCATGATTTCTTCATCATTCCAGGATCTTTCTGAGTTCATTTTAACCTTTGTTCTGGAATAATGAGTGTACATTCTGCCCTTAAAGCTCATCAGACAGATTTGAATTGGATATCAGAAAAAGAAATTTCAAGTTCTTACCGTTGAAATAAGATATCGAGTCAAAGTTCATTGGACAAATACATCTGAGGATTTGATTTATAGTTGGTGCATGATCTTTTTGTTTAAAGAACAGTATTTCAATCAGATGTATCGAAAAAATGAAATTTCTAAATCCTAACAGGATTAGGAGAACAAGGAATGGATTAATGTGGGCTGTGGCCCAATCGGCCCAAATAATATCACATAGTCCAAAAGAATTCCACGTGTCAGGACTTTGTTGAATAACACTCTCAACTCCCTAATCCAGACTGCATATGATTTTGACCCCGATAAAATTTTGATTTTTCCGTTTCTTTCCCCTTTGGTTTTAATTTCGTTAACCTGTGTCCCTCTGTTTCCAATCTACTCACTGAAACTAATCGATGAGAATCATTGTCTCCCTCGCTTCTCTCTTTTTTGTCGTAAGATACTGATATTTGATTCCAGAATTTCCTTGTTCTTACTTTCCGGCGACTTTCCGGTGGTTTTTATCATAAAAGGAAAATGGTGCAGAGCCTTTCATTAAGCACCTTAACAACCTCCGGAAACACGGCTGTTTATGGGTCAGAGGTGGTGGGGAGGCAACATTATGAGATAGTTGGGAAAACCCATTTGAAATCTAGGATTGGTAGACAATCTCTCTGGCATGGGTATGTACCAAGTTTTTTCTTTAAAGGCAACGCCAATTTGTTAAGGAAAAGGGATTTGCGGGTTAAAGCCGGATGGCCATTTAAAGGAGGTGATCAGGAGTTGGGTGCGAGCTCAGAGCGTAGTGAGACTGCTAATGAGGATATATTGATTTTCTTTTTCCAGGTGGACTTGGCTACGCAAGTACAGGTTTTGATGTCAGCTTCTTATTTCTAGGATAGGACTTCATTGTCTTTTCTTTCATGGGCAAATTGTTTCCACTTATCTCTCAGTTTTTCGGGTTGCTTGTGTATTTTGGATTTGCAGCGTGCTTTGAATTTGGAAGAGTATGAAATTGCCCAGCAACTTAGAAACAAGCTTACTGAGGTATGTCCTGACATCTTTCACCCCAGGGGCCTCTATAACATATTGCTGGATCCTTTTTTTATGCTTGGCCATCAACTATTGAAGAAATGATTAGTCTGGGAGAAACTTTCATTTTTCTTTTTAACCCATTGCATGTATAATTTATTTATTTACTGGAATTGATTGACGAAATGATATTGTTGCTGCAGAGGATCATTTTCATTCAAACTTTACACTAACATGTCATAACATCATGAATTTATGTATGCTTGGTTGCCACAATGTGTACCCAAGTCTCTTCATGATAAATGGAGTTGGCAAATGTGTATGCTGTGTGTTTATTAACAAGATTCCCCTTTTAAGGTTGAAGCAGAAATACTTAAGCAGAAAGAAGCTAAAAGAGGATTGTCCTCAAAGAGTGAAGCCCAAGATACGGCTATAAGTATAGTGCGTCTACGGTGAGTCTCACATTTAGTTATCTGCATTTCTTCTTAGGGTGCATATAATTGATTTTTGAGAAAAAGTGTTCATTTTGACTTAGTTTCTTTGTAATTTGCTCCCTTGGTTCATTTGGGGTGCTTTAGATTATTGATTTTATTTGTTTCACTTCAGTGGAGACCTGCAGAATGCAATTGAGACTGAGAATTATGCTTTGGCAGCTAAATTACGGGATGACATTTCCAAACTTGAGGCAGAATCTTTGGCTGCATCTGCGAAAGCATTGGCTTATGAAAATGCCCAATATGCATTTCGTTTGGGACAGAAAGTTCAGCACAAAATTTTTGGTATATAATCAATATGATTTCCACTACATTATTTGAACTTTCTTTTGCCTCCTTATGTAGTTCTTGTCTTTCCCTTTCCCCTAAATTCCAAAAGCAGATGGTAGTATCGGGAATTGACTTCTTTGTCTTTTTTTATTTAATAACTCCGGCTTCATTATGTTGAAGCATCAGGACTTGTCATGATAGGAAATTGCTACAGTTTTTGTACTCACTCAGGGGGCGGGGGGGTTTGTTGTT